CATATCTCCCTTTGGGTTTGTTAGCTTATTTAGTTATTTCCTTTTATTTCTCATGGGATTTGATGAGTTCAGTTGTTTTGCCCTCTCGTTCATTTGTCTTTTCATCTGTCTGTTTCACTGTAGGTTGAGTGGGTTTGTTTTTTTGGGTTTTTTTTTTTTTTTGCTTTTTCTAATTCATTTGCTTTATATTTTCCTATTTCATTGGTTCTCTTTGTTGTTATTGATCATCTTTTTTATTTCCTTGTAGAGTCTCGAATTTTGTTCATTTAGTTGTGTCCTGACTCAGGAGTTGGTTTTCTGTGAGTTTTTTTGCGTTCTTTAAACATATTTAGCAAAATTATCAATTCTTTGCAGTATTCTGCCTACCACAGGAGAAATTTTTCCTTCTCCATGATTTTTTAAAATATTGTGTGTGTTTTCTTTAATATTGATTTGCCACTTTTAACTTTTCCAACAAATCTTTAACTTCTAAATGGATTTGGAAAGCTAAGATTGTTAATACATTCTAATGTATGTAATAAAAAATAAATAAAATATTTGTCACTCTCATTCAGGGTTTTTAACAATTATAACCTTATTTATTTGATTTGCTGAAAAGTAACAACTTCTAAACAATAAATAAAACCTGTTTTCTATCATGGGGTTCTCTGTTGTAATGTCACTGAGCTCTGTGCTAAACGTTAGCATTTAACACATTTCGGGGGGCGGAGGCCTCAACCCCCAAACTGGGAGAATCCCCTTTATGTAAAGGCTGGGGGCCTGGGAAACGGACGTGGAGCCCGTCTGAGCTCTCAGTGTACTGCACTGGTCATCCCTAGCAGCTGTGGATGCAGACTGCTTCCAGTGGGAGCTGGATGGGCAGAAGGGATTTGCTCCCAGGTTTTGTCTTAATTGGTCTGTCTTCACTGTGATTTTGTGTGTTTTATTATATTTTCTTTCATTTGGGCTATTGGGTTATTTATACTTCCAATGTTGCATCCTGTTGTTTGCGGGGCATTTTTCTGATTTGTGACCCTTGTGGTACTGCGGTCAAGTGCCTTGACGCTAACCAAAATCCTGTACTCACTAACTGCTTCTTGTGAGAAAGTCACGGATGCCCGTCTCTGCTCTGGGGACCGACAGGGTAACTTCCTTGCATGCTACAGGTGTCACTCCGAATCAATCCAACAGCAGTAGGCGCTCTTTTTATTTGGCGTTCTGGAATTAACTATGCATATGTGAGAGAGGGGTGGGCCGGGAGTTAACCAATTGTAGACGTAGACGTTGGTGTGCTGTGCGTGAGTTGCTCGCTATGTGTTTTCCTCACAGAATGTCTCGCAGTGGGCAGAGCTTCTGTGTTGCCCATCAGACTGAAGTATTCCCTTGGCCTGGTTACCCAAGTACTTTTGCCTGGTTCTAGTGCATGTCCATCTTGATTTCCAGAGCACCAGAATCTCCCTTTGCCCCCTTCCAATTACTCAGGTCCTTGTCAATTTCCACTGCCTTTTAAAAAAGTGTTGAGGGCCATGACTTCCTCAGGCTAGCTTCC